TCTTCTGCACTTGCGCTTGCCCTGTCAAAACAAGTTCCTGGGCTGGTTCCTGAATGGTTTCTATATGGGTATTCACCGTTTGTCCAAAGTTTTTAACTGCAACAGTCATCAAATCCATCTTCTCATGCATCTGCTCCAGCAAGGTGCTTGTCTTGCAAAAAGCAAGCACCAAAACTTCTTGTAAACACATTTTTATTCAAGGTCAGAGTCTGGTCTCACAATCCTAATCTTACAGCTGTGAAATCCCCAGATCGACTCCGGCAACAAATTAACAAGCTCCCTCTAGAGGAGACAATTTCTATTTGTATCCATCTTTTGAAAGCAGGACCAACAAAAAAAAAATACTTTCATTTTTCAAATGCTTTGTTTCTTTTGATTCCAAGAAGCAACATTGGAGTCAATTTGTTTCTCTTTTTTTACTATCTGTCAAAAGACGTTCCATTCACAGTCGATGAACTTCCCCATAAATTTCTGTCTCTGACACCCCGTTCCCAGGTTTGAGACGGTGGAAATTTATCTTTCTTTACTCTCTCTCCTGCAGGCTTAAACAGTCAAAAATCCCCCCCCCTTTTCTCCTGCTTCCAAGAGGGGTTTTGGTGGTAATATCTGAAGGAAATTTAGACCTTTATATACGACTTTCCAGACTTTAGCTTACAAAGTTTTTGCTTCAATCTATTTACAAAAAACGGGAGGCGGACTTCCTGTTTAGAGCCTTCCCGCTTCAGTGCCAAATTAAAATGTTTCTTAATCCAATTTTCCGTTCTACTCACGGGTACTTGTTTAGAGTCCAATTGTCCACAGGAGCGCTCTCCGGCAACGGCTGTGCGGCTTCACTCCGTAAAAGTAGCGGTTGATTCAAAACACCGCGCCACTCACCCCGCGTTGCGTCGGATCCCCGAAAAAGGGTTTCCCTGCGAGTAGGGGAGGCGCTCCTGGTGTCAGCCGTATCCCACGTTCCCAGGCTTCCTCCGCCTGGGATTTTTAGAGGGTCTCCGCCTTCGCCGCGGCGGCAAGACCCGATTTTCACGGAGCGGGTTCCTCCCGGTCAGAGGAACTCCGCCATTGCCGATGGCGCTGACCCGGAAGTCACATTTCAAAGATTTCTCATAGAATCACAGAGTTGGAAGGGACACTGAGGATCATCTGTTTCAACGTCCTACAAAGCAGGAATATGCAGCTGTCCTTTAGAGGGACCAAACCTGCAAGTTTGGCGTTATCAACATCATGCTCTAACCTACTGAGCTATGCCTATGATCATTTTGGTTACAAAAATAAAAAATAAAAAAATAGAACCCTAGGCCCCCACCTAAAAATATGTGCAAAGAGCCCTAACAATTAGCCCTCCCCACCACATTGTTAACTAGATTCACTCTGCTTTGAAATACCAGCAGAGCAAAAAGAAATTAAGATATGACTGAAGGCTTTGTTATGAATGTGCAGAAAACATCACCAAGCACAAACTCAGCTTTTAATCAGGTTGGGTAGCAGTACTTCATTTGAAGAATTCAAAGTATTCCACTGTGACTTATTTGCAAAGCATTTTAAGGATAAAATTGCTGGCATCTGCTGGGACATTGACTCCGCTCTTAGAGCAGATGAATCTCAAGCGGTGTCCAGAGCACTGTCTAGTCCTTTTGTGCTGGATAAGTTTCAGCTGGTGAGGCTCAAGGACGTGGACAAGGTGCTTGGATCAGTCAGGGTGACTGCTTGCCCTCTGGGTGAGATGGTTTAGGCCTATAACACTGATCCTGACCTGGTTGCACTGACCCCCAATTAGTTACCTGGCCTGATGCAAAGTCCTGGTTTTGACCTACAAAGCCTTAAACAGCTCAGGACCATAACACATCAAGGACCGCTTCTCCTATATGAACCAACCCAGACCCTGCAATCACCATCTGAGGCCCTTCTTCGTGTGCCTCCTCCACAAGAGAGGTCCAGAGGGCAGCAACTGGCCACTTCTGTGGTGGCTCCCCATTTGTGGAATGTTCTCCCCAGGGAGATTCACCTAGTGTCTATGTTACGTATCTTTAGGCACCAGGCAAAAGCATTCCTCTTCCTCCTAGTCCTTTGGCTAATTAAACCATCTACGGCTGTTTCAACTGAAGGGCAACAACATTGTTTCATTACTATATTGTGTGTGTGTGTGTGTGTGTGTTTATATTGTAAACTGCAATCCTCAGATGAAGGGTAGTATATACCGTTCTTTTCGGTGTATAAGACTAGGTTTTTTATTTAAAAATTACGTTCAAAATTGTGGGTCGTCTTATACACAAATACAATCTCTCTCCCCCCCCCCCATTTTCTCAATTTGGGGTCCCCAAAGATAGGGGGCATCTTATACATGTGGACGTGTTATACACAAAAAAATACAGTAAATGTAATAAAGAAATAAAGTAAATGGATTTGGCTCCACTGAGTATCATCTAAAGTAGCATCTAGATCACAGGTGGGGAAACTGATGCCCTCCCAATGGTCAGGGATGATGGGAGTCAAAGTCTAAGAGCATCTGTAGGACCACAACTTGTAGTGATCTTAGAGTCCATGATCTAGAACCAGATTTGAACTCTTGCATTCAGATCTTAGGAAAATGTATAGAGCGTTTTGCACAAGGGCATCTCCTCCCTTGGATTGGATGTGCCACACAGTTGGAGCAAGGGTGAATCAGTCCATTTCTAGCTCGTGTCAATGTTGCATATGTTCATTCAAAAACCCATTCTGCCCCCACCCCTTGTCTTTTTTTAAAAAATGCAAACAAAAATTTGCATTTAAATACATATATTTAACATGGACTTTCTCTCAGAAATATTCCTTTCTTGACACATTTTGATATTTTTCCACCAGAAACTGTGCCACAATATTCAGAAAAGCATCAAATTCAATAGATCACTATATTCCAATGTTCACTTTAGTCCAGCTCATGAAGATCTGGTTGGTTCGTCTTGGAAGTGGCAAAAAAATGGAGTCTGTCAACCATCTTTGAGTAGGGATGGACATAATTTCTATTCATTTCCTCATTTTCCCAGTCTTAAGCTCAGCTCTGCACATGCCCACATCACTTTTCAATTGGTGAAAATTCATCAACATATCAGTACAAATTTCTCCTAATGCACACATTTTTGCAAAAAAAAAATTTTTTTTAAATCCCACGATATAATGCATTCTTCCAGGTTACTGCCACCAATATATGCATTTTTATGGACAATTTGCTCCTAGCATGTACATTTTTGCATGTTTTACATGGCTGGAGTAGTACTTTGCAAAATTCAAAGGTACATGAAACTTGACTAGTGGCTTTGTTTCAGTTTGTGTATCATTTCAGAAAGCGTTCATTCAGGAGGTTCGCCCTTCCTGGCAAACTGAACTGAATTTCTCTCCCCTCTCCGTCGGTAAGTTAGAGCATCGAAGGAGGAGTTTGCTGCATCAGAACAACGGTCCATCTGGTCCAGCATCCTGCATCCATTTCAACAGGACGAGCTTTCTCAAGCTTTAGAAAAAGATGGTGCTGTGTGTTTACTTCTCCAAGATACGCACCTAATTAATTCAGACATGGTGCAAATGATTGAAATTTCACAGCATTTAGTAGATTCAGCCCCTCGTTCTAAAGGTACGTATTGAGCGAGATGTACTAATTACATGGTTTCGCTACTTGAGTGGGTTTCCATGAAACGCTCCCACAGGGCTGGAGGTATGGAGGCAGGAGGAGATGGTGGTAGTGGGTGAAGTTTTTATAGTTTCTTTCCCTCCCCCTCCCCCCACCTCTCTGCTTTTTTTATTTTTCCCAGGCAAGGTTTGGAGGGAGAGATCTTCAAAGGCATTTAAGATGAGCGTTCGAGCTGTGGTGCTTTTCAGCTTCTCATTCATGCGGCTTCCTTTTCATTTAATACTTTATACGGCTCGGCCTCCAGGCGCTCGAAGACGTGTGAAAACTAAGTAGCTGCTGCTGGTGGAGCTGAAGAAAAGTGCTGCGGCCCAAAATGTGTGCCTTGAACAGCCTTTGGGAGCCTCTCTTTTATGTTGCGCTCTGTTATTTATTTATTCCTGACTTGCAAGGCTTGACGGCTTCAGAGGACGGCATTGAACTCAGCCTAGGTGGGAACCATACAGAGGCTGGATGCTATTGTCACCCACCTGCCTCATAACAAGACCTGTATCCACTTCCCTCAATTGAACTGAGGAAGAGTTTTAAGATGTGGCAAGAGAAAGGAAACAGAGGAGGGGGGAGAAATGCTGGCACTGTCTTATTTTTAGAAACAGAACCTGAGAACATTCATTCCTTTTCCTTTCTTTTTTGCCCTGACCCAGAACACAAAACAGGAAGAACTATTTACCCTGGTCTTTGACCCGAGTTGTGTGTTCCTTTTTGTCGTAATCTGTTTTAACTGTTCTCAATTTTGAAATTTTATATGCTTTTAAAATAAATAAATAAGATTTTTTTCCCATTATTTTCATTAAACATTACAAACGGCAGATGTAACCATGCAGAATTAGTTCAGTTCCAAGCTTGTACAAAGCAAAGCTCGGCGCAGAAGCAAGGAAAGTACAGGCCATTGTAGTATTATAAGCACTCTTCTCTCATGTGTTTCATCTTAACCCAAGGATCGTATGCCTGTTTTTAAATTTAAATTGTAACCCACCTTTGGACCTGCTGGTGAAAGACACGGGATAAATTTAATGGGGATTTGGATGAAAGTGGTAAAATACAAGGGAAAGCTTGGAGGACTAGGGTTGTCTAATTTGGGGGGTGGGTGGGAAGTGGGCAATAGTGTGACAGAGTTTTTAAATATATTTTGGTTCTTAGAAAGAACAGAGTCTATTTGGGGCATAAAACATGGTGGGTTTGGCCAATGGGGAATCCCTGTCCCTCACCAGCTCCATGCTTGGTTTTCCTGCATTGACTGGGGACGTCTGGAGTGGGATTCTTCACACAATCAGCTAAATACACTTAGAACCCTCCTGGCCATCAAGAACACTGCACAATGAGGGTTTCCTAAACTGGGAGGGCTGTAGCTCAGTGGCAAAGAGCATCTGCTCTGCACCCAGAAGGTCCCAGGTTCAATCCCTGGCATGACCTTTGCTTGAAACCCTCGACAGCTGCTGCCAGTCAGTGTAAGCAATACTGAACTAGATGGACCAATGGCCTGACTTAGTATAAGGCAACTTCCTGTGGACCCATGATGTCTCCACCTTTTATGGTCATGCAGGTTGAATTCCTGAATAGAACTAATGTCTACCGAGAATAGGATAAAACCCAGCATTCAGCAGAGGGAAGTGACCCACTTCAAGCAATAACTGGCAATATAGAATCACAGATTTGTAGAGTTGGAAGGGACCCTGATTGTCATCCTATCCAACCCCTTGCAATGCAGGAATCACAACTAAAGCATCCATGACAGATGGCCATCCAACCTCTGCTTAATAGAGGAAGGCAGAAATTGGCCAGAGTTTTTGAAGTGCAGGCCCCCGCAGGGTGGAGGGTACCATTTGAACTGCAGGCAACAAAGTGTCTTGAGTCAGAACTAAGAACCACTTGTCTGGATCTAGCAATGGCTTGGAAGTCCTGTGGAAGAATGCTTACCTGCACAGATTGCCTGGATGAGTGCCATCTCCTGCCCATGTTCCTTGCCCATTTTTCACACCTTACCCAGCTCTTTTGACAGCCCCGCTGAGAATACAGAGTGCCAGAACAGTACAAAATATTCCAAACGCAGCATAGATTTGTCTGAGTTTAGATCCATGAAAAACTGGTGTGGCGTGCTCGTTTTGTCCTACATGCCTTTGCGACATCCCATAGCTTTGTTTTACTATAATTAAATCCAGCCGGCTTTTTCGATTTTTGGAGCATATGCTAATGTTTTGTCACAATCAGCAGTCTCGCTAAACATTGCTTTGAACCATTTTGTGGGACATGAAAGCAACACTTACTCAAAGAGTTGCCTAATGAAAGCCATTTCAGAAAGGAGATTCCAACTAAACATCAGGAAGAACTTTCGGGCAGGAAGAGCTGTTTGACAGTGGAATGGACTCCCTCAAATTGTGGTGTACTCTCCTCCTTTGGAGGTTTTGAAGCAGAGGTTGGATGGCCATCTGCCATGGATGCTTTACCTGAGATTTCTGCATTGCAGGGGGTTGGACTAGATGACCCTCGGGATCCCTTCCAACTCTACAATCTATTATTCTTTCATTCTGTTTCTTAGTAGACATGCACATGACCAGCCTCTGCTTTTCACTTACCCTTTATTATTTCCAAATCTTCCTTCCCCTCATCGTTAAAAAAGTAACTTAATTCATTTGTTCATTAATTCAGCAAAGTAGATATCATTAACTGTCATTACATACCAAGATGATTTTATGGATTTTATGAATCCTTGAATAAATTTTTGTCCCCACTTCTCTTGCATTGTTTTGCTTCCTGTTCCCAGTATTAACAACTCCAATTATCTTTCCAAATTTGGGCATATGTACCCTCTTTCTTTTTCATGAAATCACCAAAGGTTCTCCATTAAAACTTGGACTCTCATGGGCTCTCCTGATTGGGAAGCTTGCTATGTTGACCCTTCCTATTTCTTCTCTGCCACCATCATGGACTGACTGTGTGAAAAGTTCGTGCTACCTGCTTAATCTACCCCTTTCCTTTCCATCCCCTTTTCTTCCTCACCTTGCTCCCCAGAAGCAAGGAATGCAAGCTTTTCCCACTCAACCAAAATGTTGCCCAATCAGTTGACTCCAATTACCCTACTCTGACACAGGATTGGCATCCTTGGGCTCCTGCCGGGACCCACTCCACAGCAGAGGGCCCAGTGCTAACATCTGGGTCCCTACCCCTGCTCTTCCCAGCTGATGTTGCCTGTTCAGCTGGTGTCTCTGACTGCAGTGAGGTTAAAGAAGTAGCAACCTCCACTTGCTTTACCTCAGAGGTGGGGAACGTGTGGCCCTCTTGATATAGCTGAACTCTATATCAACAAGAGTTTTGGAAAACTCTCCTAGAGGACGGGCAGTGGCAGCATAAACACACACACCAAAGGGTCAGTATACCCCCCCCCAACATTCCTCAGATGAAAATGTCCCTATTATCATCTGAGGAATCTTGGAGGGTATGCTCTTCATGGCTGTCAGCAGGGTGAGATAGGAGATCTGGTGTGAGGCCGACCCCTCCTTTAGCAAGGAACATGGGAAGGTGCCTTATACTGAGCCCAAAACATTGGCTCATCTAGATCAGGATTGTTTATGCTGACTGACCATGGCTCACCGGTCTCAGATTGTGGCCTCTCTATGTGCAACTGGAGATGCTAGAGATTGAACCTGGAGCCTTTTGGGTGCAAAACAGCTGTCCTGCCATTTTGCTATGGTCCTTCCCCCATGGCTGAAGGAAGAAAAGATCCCTCTCCACCTGCTCCATGCAGGGGGGTTTTCTGCTGGCAATCTGCCTCCCCATCAACAGCACTTCCGTAAGTGGAAACCAGTGCTTACTGGACAGTGTCATATGGATCAGGCCTATATATATAACATGATTCCCCATACTTTTAAAAATGCACCACAGCAAGAAATTATTTGTAATATTTTCTTTCCATTTGGGATACACTGCGGCATTTTTTCCCCATTCCCACCCCAAGGTTTCAGAGCAGTTCAAGGCTCTCATAATTAAGATCAAACAGACAGTATTTTAAAGTTCAATGAAGATATTAATGGGGCCCCCAAAAACCCTAGGGGATTTCATTAGTATTGTATAAGGTTAAGACTTTGTCAGTGTTTCTTTGTTATTAATAGTATATAGTACTATCTTCAGGCTTCTATGCTCTCATCTCTGCCCCACCCAGGTCCCTTTCAAGCTCATAATCCTTTTTGAGCCCTCTTTAAATGTCAAATTACTTGCAAATGTGTGCCAGTCCACCGTTCCTACCACTGTGCCTGCACCCTACTGAGATCCCTACTCCGCCACCTTTTCCCCTCTCTGTAACTGGTGACACACAGCATTGGGAAGCCATGTAAGCAAGACTCCTGTCTCCCTTTTGGTTACTGGCAGCAATGTGTGGCATTGGGAAGCCAGGGAAGCAATGCCATCTAGCCCGTCCGCCACTACTGCGCATGTTCACCTGAAATGAAGTCTGAGTGAGATAAAGGGAGCTTGCTTTTAAGAATGCATGTATGCCGCTCCATCCCTCCTTGCCCACTGCCTGACCATCTTGCCACTCAGCCTTTGGACTGGCCATGGGTCACTCCATGTAGACTGACCCAACCTTAGAGCAATCCAGGACCATCTCAACCCAATTCAACTGAAGCCTAGAACTGCTTGAATCAGCCAGATTTCATTTGGGCTTTGGTTGCATCGGGGCACAGCTCTCCTGAACAGACATAATGGTGTAAGATTGCATCGTCTGTGAGTGTGAGCCTGCCCTGCAAAGTTTCAAGGATGAATAATGCAACCTGTGGACTTGGCCCTGCCTTTGAAGACTGAGTGACCCTCTGGAGTGGAACTGGAGGGTCAACATGGCAAGATGGAAGTCCAAATCCATCAAGCCCACCACACTCTGTGCATGTGCCTGTTCCCAGAAGTGTCTTCTACTTGGCTATCTTCTTTAGAACCTGGGTGTGAATGCATGGAGCTCTCTTTACAGCAAATGCACATTCTGAAATGGAATGAACCACATCCACATAACAACAAAAGGTATGTCCTTGGTAACTGATCAGGGATAGAAGTCTCACACAACCAAGTGACCATGACAGTTGTCAAGCGTAAGCCTTAGATAAGGACAATCACTTTCTTAAGAAAAAGAAAGTCCTGTGCCCAACGGAATGAACAACTTTGTTATGATCTCAACTCCATAAATCCACTCCATCAAGAGAATGAACATAAATTCTGAGTGCAATTTTAGATGGGCAAAAATGATGTCCTTGTTGGGGTGATGGGAAAGAGGCAAGCTTATGATTTACAAGAACTTTTCTGGCACTTGAGCTCTTCAAAGTAAGACAAGACAGCCTTCTAAATGCTGAAGAGAATTTGGGAAAGTAAACATTAGCCTTGCTTATCCAAAACTCCCAGCACTTCAGGGTCAACCATGTCAATATAATCTGCGTAAATAAAGCATCCAGATGTCTTAGGGCATTGTCCAATGCTTTCAGATAAATGAGCATGCATTGTCTCTTTCAGTAAAGCTAGGTGGAATCTGGAGAGTATGCATAATTGGACTTGCATTCTCCCCCACACACACACACACTGTTGTCAATGAGTGGAAGCAGTAGGCTTTTCTTATGCTGCTGTTTCCTCTCCAGTTAATGGACGATCACTCCTAGTCTGTGGTTGTAAGGGTTATATGAGACCTCCATGTGTCAGAATATCAGTTTTAAAGAAGCATCAGCACAGCAGGAGAGGGCAATCGCCTTGTCTGTGGGCTTCTCAAAAGCTTCTAGTTGGCCACTGTAGGAAGAAGTAGATTGGATTAGTCGGACCTTTGGTCCAATCATTGCTATGATCTTGAGATGAATCCACATCTAGGATTTGAGACACACACAAAACATGCAAATGTATCAGCAGAGCCAGCTCCAGGATGTGGAGTGGATTCCTTCCACATCCCCACCATCACCCATTTATTCTCCCTCTCTCCCCTCCCTCTCTGGGACCAATGTCAGTGCTGCCTAGGGCAAAGAGGCAAGCTGGCAGGCAGCAGCAACCGCTGCTCCTTCTCCTTCCCCCATCACCCACTCACACGCTCCTGCTAGTTCAAAAGGAGAGGGCAGGAAGCAGGAAGCAAAGGACAAGCCTTAAGGACATGAGTCTATAGTGGTGGATGTTGCCATTGGACCTGGTCAGATGGAGGACCGTGTAGCAAACAGCAAGTGGAATATAGCCACATCCCCACCACTTTTTCTACAGCTCCCACTCCTGCACCTTTAACAGCAGCCTGAAATTAAACAGTGAAGCTCTTCATTGCATGACTACATCAGTGGTGTGAGGGAAGCTTGCAGCCTGAGCTTCTGCAGGTACCTTTGGACGTAAGTTCCACTGTGATCATGGGGATTTACGCCAGTGCATAGGACTTATCAGCTTATTCCCCCCCTTTTTTTTCTTCTTTCCCT